AAACCCGCTCACTAGCGATTTGACGCTATGAACTCAACTTAAGATAAAAATATTGGTACTGTGAATAGTACTTAACATTCAACTTATATTAACGAACTTTCGTTTAGTTTCATGAATTCAACATAGAATCAGAGACGATCAAATGTTTTTAGAGGTGTCAGAAAAAAAACGTATTTTGGATTTTTAAGTTTTTCGATCATTATTTATGAGTATTAATTTATCTGGTAAATTTTTTTTGTTGCCATTGGATGTCCTTCTTCGAAGTACATATATAGTTTTGTCTTATTTTAAAAAGATTTAATTAAATTTATTCTAAAATGTGAGGAATACACTCGGGGTAAAGTCGCTCACGTGAAGTCGGGGTAAAGCCGCTCACTTAGTTTTAAATTTAGAATAAAATAATTTCACGTATTATATTTCAACAATAACACTTTTTATGACTTATTAAAACCAAAATTGTAACTACATTTCACTTTCTCTTAATAAAATATAACACTATTTAAATCCATAGTTGTAATTCATGAAATCTATGTTCAATATTTATTAAACCAATTTGTTGTTTATAAAATTGTTTATATAACTCATAAATTATCAATAATAAATCATACTTAAGACGGGAATAAGACGAACTTTAATATTTAAAAAATAAAACTGTTCCGTCTTGAAAAGATAAAGTGAGCGGGTTTACCCTGGAAAATTGTGATTTTGAAATTTGGTATATGTTTATTAAAAAGTTTCTCTAAGTAAAACTAAAAAAGATAAATCAAAAACTCTTTTTTATTTTTTTAGTAGAAATCATAAGCTTTCAAATGATATAAATTAACTTGGATTTAGAGAATAATTTCCTAGATTTTAGCCGATCTGAAAAAAGTGAGCGGGTTTACCCCAGTCTCCCCTACTATTTTAATTAAATTCTGTTCAAAAAAATAATCTTTATGACACTGTTATTTGTTCAGCCAAAAGGGTAGACCTGAAAAAATAGAACGAATTAAATTATCCTTATCTTTTAAATAAATGAAATATATTATTACTTTTAATATCGAAATAATGTTACTCTTTGTTATAGAGTCCTGCATGAGAGATTCAAAAAAATCAATGAAAATTCCTTGCACCTTCTTTGAGTTATTTATTGACTGTTAAAAAAATAGTAGGTTTTCGTATAAAAGAAATAATAATTTCAACTTGTTCACAGTTTTTCTGACATTTTTTATTATTCACTGACTTTAACAAGCACAAAGGTTACAACACTCTTTTTGATTAACAAAAACAACCTACCATTAGTCTATATATTGTCTAAAATTCTGATTTGAAAATTGATTTCAAGACCTATAAGGAAATTTCCTTAATTTTTTAACCCCAAAAATGAGTCGAATTTAAGAAAAAACGAGTTTGAGTGGCAAATACTTTAAGAATTTAGTTTTTACAGTGCACAATAATTTTTCGTATTACTTTGACACTTATCAACTAACCTATAAAAAATGTATTCCTATTATATAACCTAAATATTGAATTTCTTTTTTACACTTAAACTTACAAATCAAACTGTTCGTATAAAACTGCATGGCAAAATTTTCACAACTTGTGAGACACAATACTTACTGAAAACTCAATAATATTTAACTTTTTATTTTGCAAGAAGCACAGAATAAAAACAGATGATCAGATACATTGCAATGCACACTTGACACTGCGTATATAATCCCTACAGAATAACACTTCTTAACTCTCAATTGTTCTCAATCGTGTGAAATATATCCCAATTGGCGACAATTAAAAACGATTAGCTCCCAATTGTTCTGAATCGTGTTAAACTTTATGCCAATTATTAGCGACAATTGTAAACGATTGGATAGTTGATAACTTTTTATCGTTTTGAATAGTGGTCAATCGATCTTTTCTAGAAGGGAAGATAATTTTTAAAAGATGCAAAGTATATACTTAGTAAGGATAGAAAACTTTTATCCATTTTTATCAATCAGTTTTTATCTACTTCTATCTTTCTACTTTCAACAGGGTAGATTGGGAGAATTCTCTAAGCTAGGCAGCATTTAACTGGAGGACCTGAACAAGAAAAGAGAGCATATCAATGAAAAGAGACTTAGGACTAATCCCACCAACCTTAATTAAAAGTTAATCAATGATTAAAGCCAGTTTAAAGGCTTATGATTGGTTGATTGAGGATTCAGGGCCAGTTTCACCAAATCCGATTAAAAGTTAACCAATGATTAAATCCTTAACCGACCAATCATGGACTTCGACTTTAAACCGAGTTCATTTTTAACCAGAGCAACGTTGACACATGTCGAATCTTTCTGAATCGTTTGTGTAAAAAGTATATGTATATTGTTTAAAACACTATAAAAATGTCAGTGAAATTGAAAAAGGAAATTTAATGTAGAATCAAAATAATTTGTTTCTTTTTTCGGAAGAAATATTTTTATTTATAATTCTTGCACATGAGAACAAAAAAATTTGTTTTTGTGAATTATGTTAACGAAATATAACTTAAAACATAAATAAACAAGTTGTAAATTCAGAAGTTCATTACATGAACATTTTGCTTCCTCTTTATGATCAGAAAAAAAAACTTCTATAACAATTCTTATCAAAAATGTCAATTTTTCACCTTTAATTACTTATGATTATATATATTAATTAAGAATTGTCCATACGGTGGTGGGAAGCAAGAGGATTATTCTCATAGCTCATGTGAAATCTTGCATGTTTGCAACTTAAAAAAAATTGAGGGGCTGGATGCTATAAGATGTTACGCACTGTTCAGTTAACATGGCGCGTAACACCTTATAGCATCTAGCCCCTCAATTCCAGTTTAAAAATTTTAATCAAAAAACCTATATTATATTTATTTTATTGAAAGAAAAATATTCAAAAAAGATGTAAAAATTAACGATACATTTTTTTCAATACTTATATATTAATAAATATATTTAATTAATTTTCTGAAATTTATTGTATTAAAAATCACGACAATACACACTCAACAAATGGTTGGTATGACTGGTTATTAGTGTACTGTCAGAGGTTAACCTCAAATTTTTTAGTGTTGAGAACACAAAAATTACACAGGAGCACAAAATTTTTTTAAACAAAGTATTGACCGGACTATGTTTTTTATATGTTTTTTGGGTCGCTGAATTCGAATCCAAACTCAGTTTTCCGCCATCACGCCAAGTTTCTTCACAAATTAATAAAATTCGAAAAAATCTGACAGTAAACAAGATTTAAATAAAAATTAGCAGCAGATTCTATTAAAAAACAACTTTAAAACACTGAAAAAATATTATATAATGTTAAACAATCAAAAAAACTCATAAATATTCAAAATTTAAGATGGCCGATCCAATATGGCGTCGATTTTTTTAAAATTCATTCAATTCGCCTGAAACTTGTTACTCGGGGGTTTTTGGGATTGCTAAATACGAATTTCACCTCAGTTTTCAAAAATTCAAAATGGCGGATTCAATATGGCTAACCATTTTTTAAAAAAATCATTGAATTTACCTGAAACGTTATACTCGGGGGTTTTCGGGGTCGCTAAATGCGAATTTCACCTTAGTTTTCAAAAATTCAAAATCTGAGAAATTTTTAAATAATTCGTTAGCCATATTGGATCCGCCATTTTGGATTTTTTAAAACTAAGGTGAAATTCGTATTTAGCGACCCCAAAAATCCCCAAGTAACAAGTTTCGAATAAATCTGATAATTTTTTTAAAAAATACGTCAGCCATATTGGATCCGCCATTTTGAATTTTTAAAAATTAAGGTGTAATTCGTATTCAGTGACTTCAAGAACCCCCGAGTAACAAGTTTCATGTAAATCTAAAACATTTTTAAAAAATTCGACAGTCATATTGGATCCGCCATTTTGAAGAAACTTGACGTGATGGCGCAAAACTGAGTTCGGATTCGGATTAAGCGACCCAAAAAACATATAAAAAACATGGTCCGGTCAATACTTTCTTTGAAAAAAATTTTGTGGTCCTGTGTTATGATAAACAAGTGAAAAATATAATTATGATACAAAAAAACATAAAAATTATTAACTTATGATTCACGAATATTGTTAATTTCAAAGTGTACAGAAAAAATTTGTATTTTTTTTGAGGTTATGGGTTGTTGCGATGTTGCCACATTTTCATGTGTTTTTGTGTTTGATATATTACTGTTCTAAAAACTAAAACTGAAATAATCATTTATTCATTAAATCTGTGGTAAACTTTCTTCACACTCGGACACTTTTAACTTTGTAATACTTTCTTTCAATATACCAAATATTAGATTTTTAAACCATTACCATCACCCTCTTTTTCATGAATTTGTGTAAGCTCCCATAAGAACCGATGTTAAACTACTTATTTATTTAAAATTTTTCTAAAAAAATACGTGGTAAAAAATTCTGAAAAAATCATAGATTACTAAATTGATCTAAAGAACAAACTGTCCAAATTTGGTCAGTCTCTTCCATTTCTTTAAATTACAGGTGACAATCCTTAATTAATTTTAAATACAACATATATTCCATAAAATATACAAATCAGTTCGTCTTGATGCGAAGAATAAAATTTTTTATTCTTATGCATTTGAATTAAATTAAATTAAGTAAATTCAATTATTCTATAAACACAAAATTATTCACAAATTAAAAAATAAATAAAAAATATATGATAAAAATAAGTAGCAAAATAAATAATAAAATATCTTAGGAAAATAAAATTGTTTATAAATTAAATTATAAATCGTAATTAATTTATTGCTATCAATTATGCTTCGTGGTCTTGTCCTCTAGATCAAATGTAGTAACGCAAGTTGCTCGATCCGATCTACAGATTTTTTAAAGTTCGCGCCAAAATTTACCCTCTCCGCCACCTCTCCAGCTGTAGCGTCATTACGCTTTTCTGTACGATCCGGTCAACATAAAACCTTCTCGCGTAATAGTTTCTTTAAAATAGTTCAATTTAATAGAAAAATAAAGTACCAATATGAGCAAGAGTCCAGAACGACAGAGTACAAGAAAATCTCGTAAAAGACATCGGGATATCGACGTATATAAATTGTGCGACGTTATCGTCAACAAATTACAAAATAGGGACAGAGAAGCCCGTGCACCATCACGTAAGAAAGATCATCACAAACGTTCAAGGCATAGCAGCGATAATAAAAACGGCGAGCGATACCCGAGAGGATCGTCACGTTTTGATCGCTCATACTCGAGATCTACATCTCGCGAGAAACTACAAAATGTCAAACACAACAAAAACGGCGGCGAGCGCGACCCAAGAGGCGCGTCACGTTTTAGTCGCTCATACTCGAGATCTACATCTCGCGAAAAACCGCAAAATGCCAAACACGACAAAAATGGCGGCGAGCGCGACCCAAGAGGCGCATCACGCCAAAGTCGTCATCGTTCCTCCTCATCGTCATCGTCTTCAACATCCTCCTCGTCAACATCATCTTCGCATTCATCGGCATCATCAACTGTCTCACATAATAGAAAAAAGTGTCGCTCAGACAAAAGTCCCGACAACAAAAAGGACAAAAGTCACAAACGATCAAAATCTGCCGAACGTCACAATAGTCGAGAACACCCGAACGTATGAGCGGATACCGAAATAAGTCGAAAACTCCCGAACGCGAACGAAAAGTCGAGACACAAGAAATTGACAGCTCGTCCACTAAAACACTTAACCTCTTAGGTAATACAGACGACAACGAAAAGCCCGGACCAGATATACACACAGTATTAAGAGAAATATGGGACAAAATTGCACAATCCGGATTATCCAAGGACACCAAAAAAGAACTAACAGGAAAATATCCAACGCCTGGAAATTGTCCTTTAATAAAAGCGCCGGATATAAACTCCGATATAAAAACAGCAATGGGACAACATTCTCTTAAAAAAGATGGCTTTCAAGTAATCTCCCAAAATCAACTGTGCGCTGGCATCACGGCACTAGGTGCGGCTATAACAAAAATATTAAACACTACGAAGGACGATATTATCACATTAAAAGCATATGAAATACTCAAAAATCTTGGCGACTGTGGGAGAATCCTCACAGATCTCCACTACAGAAAATCTATATAACTCGTCGTTCCTTCATAATACCGGGATTAGATCCGCTAGTGAAAAAGGTTGCCGACGAGAGTCCAGTAGACACTTTGCTTTTCGGATCCAATTTTTCCGAAAAACTCAAAGCGGCAATAGCAGCTGTAAAGTCCTCGAAGGACATAGTTAAACAATCTTCGTCAAGAAAAAACCCTACAAAGAAAATAATTTAAACTTCAAGAGCCCCCACGTGAGGAATTACAAAACGTCTCAACGGAGGGGGCCGAAACAGAAATTTCAACAGAACCAATACCAGGACAAAGCACGCCGCTAAGCAAGGTAAGTCAAATTGCAGGGAGACTTAGACTGTTTATCCAAAACTGGTTAAAAATTACTAATGACTCTTTTATTTTACAAATTATCGCAGGCTACAAAATTCCCTTTGCAGAAAATCCTTGTCAAGCTCATGCCCCAAAGGAGGCACGGAACTCGAAAGAGGAACAAGTTGATTACGAAACTGCAATTAAAGGGTTAATCAAAAAAGGCGCAATCTCCAAATGCTCGCCTGCCAAAAACTTTTTCCTTTCTCCCTATTTTCTCAGAGAAAAACCAAACAGGGAAAAACGATTCATCTTAAATTTAAAAAATTTAAATAAATTTATTAACCCCCCTCATTTTAAAGTCGAGGATAGGAAAACAGTATCAAGAATACTTTTTTACAACGCGCATCTGGCAACCTTAGACCTGTCCGGCGCATTCCTACTAATGTCAATAGCGGAAACAGATAGAAAATATCTCAGGTTTTCTTTTAATAATTCCCTTTACGAATTTCTATGCGTCCCATTCGGCTTATGCACGGCCTCATTCATTTTTACTAAGATAATGAAGCCAGTCGCAGAAAATCTCAGATCACAATCCCTACTTTCAGTAATCTATCTCGACGATTTTTTATTAATCGGCAAATCAAAAAATCAATGTCTTAAAAATATAGAAATAACTTCTCGATTATTAAGGCGTACTTGCGTTTGCGAAGGCAAAAAATAGGCCCCACTTTAATGTTTTTTTCACAGTCATTTTATTTGAAATATTAAAAACGATTTTTGCACCTTAAAGTACATTATAAAAACTACAAAAAGGAAGAATTGTTTCGTTTTTTAAACGTTATTTACGATTCGTAGAGGGCCCCAAAAATGGCGATCTCAAATTTGTTAGAGTTTGCGGTGCCCCCTCTGGAGCCGCTCCTGACAGTCTAAAATAAAAAAAAAGAAAATTTATTCTTTAGTATACATTAATACCTAGTGGACTAATGTGATGAAATAAAAAAAAGTAAAAAAACACGAAAATAGCGTCCTTTTAAAGTCAATTTTTAAGAAATGATGATTTTGATCTTTTGAATTTTTGACTTTAAAAGTACCGCATTTTCGTTTTTTTACTTTTTTTTTAATTTCATCACATTGGTCCACTAGGTATTATAATGTATACTAAAGAATTGTTTGATAAACAAATGTCCCTTTCAAAATCATTACTACTAGACATGGAATGGTGGATAAATAACATCCACACTGCCAGCAACCCTATTAAATTGTCAAACTTTGACATAGAAATATTTACAGACGCTTTGTGGTCAGGATGGGGCGCCGTTTCGAACGGAAGTAAAGCGCATGGTTGGTGGAGTTCGGAACAAAAAGAATTACATATCAACCATTTAAGAGTTTAAGATTTAGAGTTACTTGCGGCATTTTACGGATTAAAATGCTTCGCAAAAAACCTGACAGCTTGTTCTATTCTCCTAAGAATAGACAACACAACAGAAATTTCTTACATAAACAGAATGGGTAGCATTCAATTCCCCAAACTAACCAACCTCTGTAAGGAAATATGGATGTGGTGTGAGCAACGAAATCTATGAATCTTTGCCTCCTACATTCCATCACGAGAAAATTGTCTAGCTGACAAAGAATCTCGCAAATTGCCTAAAGAAACAGAATGGAAATTTTCTGGGTTTTTACAAAAATAGAAAATAGATTTGGGAATATAGAAATAGATCTTTTCGCATCAAACTCAAACAAAAAATGCACCGAATTCGTCTCTTGGAAACAGGACCCAGAATCATACGCTATCGACGCGTTCACTATTAACTGGAGTCATGTTAAATATTACGCTTTTCCCCCCTTTTCATTAGTTCTCAAAACCTTACAAAAATTATCCTCGACAAAGCAGTCGGAAAAGTAGTAGTTCCCCATTGGCCTACACAGTCTTGGTTTCCCTTATATAAATCTTTACTTGTTGGCAAACCAGTTTACTTCAAACCAAGTGACGATTTACTTATCTCTCCTTTCAGGAAGAAGCACCCACTTGCGGAGAAACTTTCTCTGGTAGCAGGAATGCTATCAGGGAGGCATTTTTAAAACAAGGGATACATGAGTCTGCCGCAACAATTATGCTTCAATCGATCACCGATACAACCTTAAAACAATATGAAAAACTACTACGGCTTTGGTGAAAATTCTGCAACGACAGAAACACATCACCTTTCAACGCATCGATTCCAGATACACTCGAGTTTCTAACAAAAATACCGGAGTCTGCAAATTCATATGGAACAGTCAACACATATTGATCAGCTCTGGCACTCGTTCTACATCGCGATCTAGGAAATAACCCTGCAATCAAGAGGTTCTGTAAAGGAGCATCGGTCCTCAAACCTCAAAGGGCAAAATATTAGGACATCTGGGATCCAGTCCCTGTTCTGAAATACCTTATCACCTTTTACCCAAGTAAGGCCTTAAGTTTGTCAAGTTTGACAAAAAAATTATGCACATTATTAATTTTAGTCACGGCGCAACGCCTACATACATCAAAAATAAAAATAGCAAACATAAAAATATTTAAAAATTCGATAAAAATATATATACCTGACAAACTTAAGACCTCAAAAGTCAAAAAAGAACAACCGTTGCTCCACCTCCCTATTTTCAATGAGCAACCAGAGCTATGTGTTGCGAGTTTGCTGCAAGTGTACATAAATAAAACAAGGTCAATCAGACCAAAAGAAGAAGACAACCTATTCCTAACTTTTAAAAAACCACACCACGCAGCAAGCTCGCAAACCATTAGTCGATGGATGAAAGAAACGCTGGGAAAAAGCGGTATCGATATTTCAAGTTTTGCGGGCTACAGTGACAAACATGCCTCAGTGTCTGCGGCACACAGAAATGGGCTTAGCATCGATACTATAAGAAAAACCGCAGGATGGGGCAACAATTCTAATGTATTTGCCCAGTTTTATAATCGTCCACTTCGCGACAACAATCACGAGTTTGTTAAAACTATTTTAAGTTCTGTAGTTGAAAAATAAATAACTACTTTTTCAAATCAAAAATTGCATTAAACATCTACATTTGATCTAGAGGACGAGACCACGAAGTTAATCTCTGCACGAAGTATAATTGATCGATTTAACGAACTTACCTTAAGTGAAGTTCAATCGAAATTATGCGAGTGAGTCTCGTCCGAATAGATCACACCCACCCTTCCCAAACCCGTAATTGATTTGAAAAAAAAGAAACAAAAAAGCGAAATGACGCTACAGCCGGAGACCCGTCCCCTGGTGGCGGAGAGGGTAAATTTTGGCGCGAACTTTAAAAAAATCTGTGGATCGGATCGAGCAACTTGCGTTACTACATTTGATCTATTCGGACGAGACTCACTCGCATAATTTCAATTGAACTTCACTTAAGGTAAGTTCGTTTAATCGATCAATTATACTAATATAAATATAAATCTTGATTTTAATATGTGAAACGCACCTGCAATATAGTTTATCCACTTTTCCATTTTTTGGTCGTATTTTATGTAAATCTGCATTTTTCTCTAAAACGACTCCAATGACATTTCCGAAATCAGCTTTTGCTCGATCAACATCTGAGATTAAAAGTAGTACATTATCTCCAACTTTAACAGGAGGATGGGTGGTATCAGAGGCTCGCTTCATTTTTTTGGCCTGATTATTTAAATTTTCAAAAGCATTTCTTCTCGCTTACTTGATCATTCCCCTTACGATTCTCGAATCTTTTTGCATCATACTTGTTATTTGGACGTTTTTAATGTCCAAATAACTTTAATGGTAGAATTTAGAATTTAAAAAAATTTAATTTTTTTTAATGCACTTTTTAACTTCTTATGACTTCAGAAAACACCTCCTAAAGTATTCATAACCAATTGTAAAAAATAAAATAAAATTTTTCAAAAAAAAAAAAAAAAAAAAAATTTTGAAAAAAAAAAATTAAAAAAAAAAAAATTAAAAATTAAAAAAATTAAAAAAATTAAAAAAAAATTAAATTAAAAAAAAATTAAATTAAAAAAAATTAAGTAAATCTTTAAGGGGATGGTGGGGTCTCCAGCTTTTTGTTAAGACGTGCAGAAACATTGGTGCTAATATATGTAACAGTGTCTCACATAGAAGTAGTGCAAGGGTTTCAATTTGCAAAAGAATTTTAGGTAATTTATGGATGGCCTCTAACGATACATATAAGGTTTAAACGCGTT